TCCATGAATCTGGCACTGTACCTAACTCTATTGTTTAATTAAATATGATAGGCAGTGGCTCGGAAAGTTCCTCTTTGCATTCTTTAAGTACCCTGGCAAACACTTCATCCGGCCCTGGGGATTTGTTTGGTTTTAGTTTTACTATTTGTTTAATTACATCCTCCCTGGTAACTGCTAAACTAGTCAACCTGTCCTCGTCCCCACCCACATATATTTGTTCGGCTGAAGGCATATTGTTAAGCTCCTCTTCAGTAAATACAGATATAAAATATTTATTAAAAATACTACTCATATCCTCGTCATTATCCGTTATTTGACCTGTCTTCGTTTTTAATGGACCTATCCTTTCCCTAGTCTTAGTTCGATATAACTGAAAAAAAACTTTAGGTTTTGTCTTCGCTTGCCCTGCTATGCGAACTTCGTAGTTTTTTTTGCCCTTATCTCTTTTTTAATATTTCTAACCAGCTGTACGAATTCCTGTTCTAAACTCACTTCCCCTTTCTTAATTCTTTTGTACCACGCTCCCTTTTTACCTATAAGGTTCTTCAGATCCTTTGTTATCCACTTTGGATCATTAGTATTCGATCTATTCAATTTATATGGTATACTACGTTCCTGGGCTTTGCTTAGAATATTTTTAAATAGGTTATATTTTGAATCCACATTGAAATCCCCTTCTATGTCACCTGTCGCTGGGTGACAAGACCTGGTCTAGTTGACTGGTCTAGCTCCAAGACCGGCCCACACCCCTTACCCAAGACTTTCCAATCTATTTGACCCCAAAAATTTCTTAGGCTTTTGAAATCAGCTTTTCGAAAATCAGGCACTTTAACAGAATTTTCTCCTACAGATCTATTCCATTCTATGCTAAATCTGATTTCTTTATGATCACTGTTCCCTAGCTCACTCCCTATTTCCATGTCCTTAATTTGTGTTTCCCTGTTAGTTAACACTAAATCTAAAATATTATTTCCCCGCGTTGGTTCCTTAATGTGTTGCGTAAGAAAGCAATCGTCAATTAATTCTAGAAAATCTTCTGCTTCATTATTCCCTGTTTTGTTCACCCAGTTTATTCCACTAAAATTAAAGCCACCCATGATTCGTGCCAGATTCTGGCACGAATCTTCTCGATATTCGTAATGTTTTTCTTCATTGAAGCAGGAAGTTTAAAAATTAACTCTACAAAGTTCATTTGTACTTTTGATTTGTGTCTGACACCTAGTAATGCGTTTCGTTAGGTCTCATAATAACGTAAGAACAAAGGTAACTGCAGAAGGCCGATTGGCCCATACGAGGCAGCTCTTATTTATAACTACTCAATCCCACTCATATATATGTCCAACCGAAGCTTGAAACAATCGAGGGACCCCACCTCCACCATCGTACGCGGTAATTGGTTCCACAAATCAACAACCCTGCTACCGAACCAGTATTTACCCAAGTCTTTCCAAAATCTAAACGTATACAATTAATACCCATTGTTTCGTGTTCTGTCTTGTGTTGATACTTTTAAACCCTATTAATATCCCCTTTGTTGTATCCATTCATCCACTTGTAAACCTCTATCATGTTACGTCTAACTCAAAAAGCTACATAACAGACTAAATTGTGCACGAATGAATTTCAGAAGAGATAGAACCGAAACTAATCAAGGACTTCTTAGAGCTGTCCGAGATCATGTGCACGAAGAAACAGCAAAAATCAGAGAAGGAAAATGGCTCGAGTGGTGTGCCAAGCTAAATCAGCATACATCCTTGGGCGACATCTGAAGGCAGATCAACAAGGCCCAAGGAAAATCTCCTCCTGCTCCGCCGCATCATGTTCATCCAGAGCAAGAAGCGGAAAGGTTAGCAAATCTATTTGCTTCTAGAGCCAGTTCCACTCAACTTCCTCAAGCAACTGACCCACCAACAAAGACTTCAAGCAGCAAGATGGAAAAAAAATAGATGATGACCTGACGAACTAGACCAACCTTTCAATCTGAAAGAACTCAGAAGAGCTACAAAGAAAACTAAAAATACAGCTCCAGGCGAGGACAAAATCACTTACAACATGCTGGCCAAGCTAGGAGAAAAGGGTGAAGACGCCTTCTTGAATCTTATTAACAGAGTATGGGTGACAAGAACTCGACCACTCTCTTGGAACAGTGCAATTATAGTTCCCATTCCAAAACCTAAAGACAAAGGAAATCCAAGACCCATCTCATTAACACGCTGTCTGGCCAAAACTGCAGACAGAATGGATCTTAATCGAATTGAATAGAAAGCCAATCCACTACACCAAAATATGTTTGCTTACAGAAAAGTTGTTGGAATCACAAAATGCCTTACCTCCCTCCTGGATCATATCAATGACAAACCTGGAATCCTTATTTTTCAAGACCTTGAAAAAGCCTTCGAGTTAGCCAATGCTCCAGCTACACTGTGAGGCTTTGTGGATAAGGAAATCAAAGGACAAGCTCTTGCCTTTGCCAAAGGAAGCCTGCTTAAGCGAGAATCTAAAGTCAAATTATAAGGAAAAACATCGACCTCAAAGAGGCTGGAAAATGGAACATCGCAGGAAGGAATACTAAGCCCCTTCCTCTTCAACTGTCTCAAGGAATTATTCATGAAGCTCAAGTTACCAAAAGCCAAACTACTTAACTATGCAGACGACTTTGTGGTCATCATCAATGGCAAGGCGCAAGGAACCATGCACAAAAATGCCTAGATATTATCAGCAGGGAAGCGGAACGCATAGCAGTGAAAATAAACAGCAATAAAACAAAATCCATGGCTGTTACAATGAGAACTGAAGACATCAGACTCGCAATACAAGGACATGAAATTGAGTGGGTTACCTCTTTTCAATACCTAGGAGTCATAATAGACAGTCAGTTGAAATTCATTCAAGGAATTGAATATCTTCGGCAACGTTATAAAGCCAGAAACTCAGCTTTGCGCTCCCTGGCAAGTCTTAGAGATAGTGCATCCCTACCAGTACTCAAAATGTACTACGTTCAAGGAGTTAGGTCACTCATTGACTATGCTGCTTCTGCTCTAACATCCCTCAGTGATAACCAATGGGAGAAACTGGAAGTGTCTCAAAATGATGCTCTCAGAACAATGCTGGGAGCACCTATATGGACGCGTACAGAGAATCTAAGAAGGAAAACCAACTTACCAGCATTAGAAAACAGGATCAAACAAAAGATAGCCACCATAACAGCAAAACCTGTTAGAACCACCGCCAGACTGCCAATCAAAGACAGCATACACAGATCGCTTCAGAGAAACCTTCAATATAGAACAAGTGCATAGACGGATAATCTGGTCAAGATTCTAGAGGAAGTGGACTTGAAATGGACCATTATAAACAAAGGGGAAGATTGACCGTATCAACACTTTCGGCAGCCTCCTCCATGGGAAGAATCGAGTCTAAAGATAATCATTGAAGGATTACCAGTTAAAAAATCAGCATGTGACTCGCAGAGGCTTGGAGCATCTCAAGACCTACAAAGACTCACATCTTCACAGACGGATCAGTTGATCAAGAAAGAGGTTCTGCAGGGGCAGCAGTTTACACTACCAACCATGAAGCTTACTGGAGCATGAATAGTTGGTGCTCAACATTGCAAACAGAATTATATGCCCTGAAGGAGGCCATAAACTATACAATTGAGAATAATTTACATGATGTCATCATTCATACCGACTCTAAATCTTCGCTCCAGGCATTGTTATCCAGTCAGTACAGAGATAATATACAACTCCTCACAGAAATCCAACATATAGGAAAAGAAGCCCAGAATCTAGGACTGTCAATCACCATAAACTGGATACCAAGTCACATTGCCATAGATGGTAATGAAAAGGCAGACTCACTAGCAAAATCTGCTACTGTTCTACCTGTTGTACAGGTTCAAATACCTCCAAGTTTTTCACAGATTATGGAGCAAATCAAGAAGAAAATACTCCCAACTATCAAAAGTCGCCACAGAGCCAAAGTAGCGGAAGGAAGATCCACTGAGATATGAACCCCTGCGCAACAATACTAACAAGCAGCTGCATTAGCTGGGTACTCCTCTTTCAAGCCTGGCAAAACAGATATCCAGAGACATTGCATGGTCCAGGACGGACCGAAACGTCGTCGTCCCTTCACCTTCTAGTGTGTGGTCTGGTCAACATACTTCAGCCACGTTATTGTGACTCGTCACCTGCAAAACAAGACTAAACCCAGTGTCTTGACCCCGAGCCAAGCATTGGCCCGGGGTCTTGAAGTCAATAGAGTGTAACTGTGTGTTAGCTGGTTATATATTGCTGGTCTTGATTTCTTGATATGCAGCGCTTTATTAATGTCTAATCTTCTGTTATCAATGAATCTATCAATGATTTTGGTGTTACTCGTCAAAATATCCCTGATGATCGTCTCGTTGTGTGTAGCGAATATATATTCCTTGATAAGGCCTGTTGTTTGTGCATTGTTAATCGCCTAGAGAGAGACGTTGTTGTCTTGCCTATATACTGAGTATACCGAGGCAAGACAACAGTTCTTCTAGCCGTCCAAGTTCTTCTAGCCATAGTTATAAAAGGTACTTTAGTTATTGAAGAAAGGTTCACCCCTCACAAGCACACCCTCATTCTATCATAAGTTTTCTTTGAACCAGGACTCACCACCTAGGAACAGATCTTAACATCTTCCCCACAACATCGTAGCTTTGGGCCTTAAAAAAGGCGCCTGCATTATAAGATCTGTATAAGATGCTTACAGTAACTGCATTGATTCAGCCTCTAGTTTCTGTAATACCATGATGACTGCTTTGAAATTACTCATGTGACTTCCAAGAAGATTCACTGTAACTAACTCCTACGTCCTAAGCTATTCACAAAAACGTAATGTCTTATGTCATGGATTATGACTGTTATATTAAGGTATATCAATATGGTATCACAACTCTTACCGTTAACCAAGCTTGAGTAAATATATTGCGAATAACGATATTGCTCAGTATAATTTGTATAAAAATATTCAATTTATTGTTCTGTAAGGTATTGGAACTCTCACGTTCAGGTCTGCAAGAACTCGTGAGTCAGGATGAGCTGCACTGAGCAGGAATATTTGGGGCTGACCCTGGAACACCTGGACGACGTTTGTGACCTTCTTGTAAATCATTTCTATCCGCGAGACATTATAGTAAGTCGGTCGTAAGTTATCGTACACCTGGCATGGTATGTTACTTGGTAGAATTTTCAAATACTTATACTAATCAGAAAAAAAATCAATATGTTACTGAGAAGATTACAAAATTTTCCAAAGTCAAATTTAATGAGCATGCATAATTTATTGTAACCAATTATTTTTCTACATTTTTAAATTGTCCTGAATCATTGCAGACTTTAGGGCTGGGTTTAAGCCCAGAAAATAGGCTGACTCTCGACCTTCCTCACATACGGACATGCTTGGCATCTGGGCTTTCAGTGGGCGCTAGAGAAAAATCAACACGGCGGCTGGTTGGAGTACTTCTGAATTACATATTCATTGCTGACTCTACACCGAAGCAAACTTTAAAAAATTACACCACTGAAGCTGAGGTAAGTTGGTGTACAAGTAATTATACAATGCCACATGAAGGCCAGTGTTCTACCGTCATTAATGCAGGACCTGAAGGTTCTAATCTGGTTGAGAGAATACAGACCAAAAGTGTCAGAGAAGCTACAGGGACGGAGCTTAATTAAATTTTGGCTGCAAGAAGAACATCACTCTATTGTATAATTAACAACATAAAAACAGTGTATCTTCAACAGATTTTGTGCCCTGAGCATTAAACAGAAATATTCCTATATACTCTAATGAGGTAGAGAAATATACTCTTGATTTTAGGAAAACTTGCATTATTTAATAAACAAGATATTAAAACTAAGCAACCCGTTCTCGCTATAACATAGTACCTATGTAACTAAAAGCTTATAGTTCTTATGCTGATAATGTTCATGGTTCCTCTATGGTAGATTTCCAGTTATTTCCTATCATCAGGCACCAACTCGTCATTACGTACCAAAGTATGTCCTATAGTACACGTCCCATCGCCTTAGACAGCAAAATAGTCGGACTGCTTCAATTTCAGTGATAATTGTATTTTTCCAGTTCCAGAAAATTGTGAAATTTATGTACTATTTTCCATGCTATTCGAATATCATGCATCAGCTACATCCGATTGAAGGCTTTAGTTTTGTTTTGAGAAATCTTGGTAGTTCTCAGTAAATTATAATAAGAATTATAAATTATTACATATAATAATGGGGCTTTCACCAATCAATATTATATACAATAGTGTGTGTTTAAAAATCTAAAGAAAATGGATTGTAGGAATGTCAACAGAAAACGATGTTATGTTTTCATGGTTATGGGCTACAGGATGAATATATTTATTTATTACTAGCAATACCCGGCCACGTATTGCTGTGGCTCAGCAACGCATGTGCGTTGTTGAGCCACAGCAACCTTCCCTGTCCCCCAGTCCTCCCCACCATACCCCCCTCACCTGTCTTCTCGGCCTCCCAACCATTCCCCACTCCACCATCCCCTCTTCCTTCTCACCATGCCCCACTCACCTATGCCCCACTCACCTATCCCCACTATTCTCCATTCCCCCATCCCCACCATCCCAAACTCCCCCCGTCCCCTCGTCCTTCCCCACCATTACCCCTTCCCATGTCCCCTCGTCATCCCCATCATTCCCCACTCCCTCGTCCGATGCCTTCCCAAATGGTTCGATGTACCCATCAGAAAATTGGGAACATCAAGTGATCTGATGTTCCCATCACTGAAATATAAGAAAAACAGTTTAAAAATAAAATGAAAATATGAAAAAATATAAAAATAAACTATACTCACAAAATGAACGGTCTGGTAAACAACACAACTCAAGTCCAACGCAATTCAAACAAAATAATTAAATCAAAATGATAATAAATCAAAATCTATGAAAATTCAATTTATCAATGCAATCAGAAACTTTGAAAGGGAATTGTAACATATCTAGGAAAGGATGTGTGTTGCTCTTACATGCAACAGATTCTGCTGTTTTTCAAGAAAAGCATAGTTTTACCTGTCACAGGTGTGGCATCTATAATTATACTTACGAAATGAATGGTATGGTAAACAACACAGCTCAATTCCGACACAATATCACACAAAATAATTCACTAAAAAATAAAATAAATTAAAATCTATGAAAATAAAATTTATCAATGCAATCGGAAACTGTGAAATGGAATTCGTGACATATTTTATATAGCATGCATGTTGCCATTATGTGCAACAGATGGCACTGTTTTTCAAAAATGCATGTTTTTACCTGTCACAGGGGTGGCATCTATATAGTAGGTATATAATAAGACACGTCTATTCGAATGCAACGTTGTCAAAATTTAAAAGCAATTAATTGGTGAAGAACTTTCGGAGATTACAGCGTGTGTTGCTCTTACGTCCAACAGATGACGCTGTTTTTAAAAAAAGCAAGCCTTTTCCTGTCACAGGTGAGGCATATATATAGTAGATATATAAAAAGACGCGCCTATGCGAATGCAACGTTGTGTCAAAATTTCAAAGCAATCGGTAAAGAGGTTTCAAAGATTTCCCTCACATGAAAAACACAGTTTTTCAGCAAAAGCATGTTTTTTTTTACCGTCACAGACGTGACATCTATATAGCATATATATAAAAACCTGCTCGGATGCGAATGGAACGTTGTGTGAAAATTTCAAAGCAACCGGTAAAGAACTTTCGGAGATTAGCGATTTTGAACAAACGAACATTTCCTTTTTTATTTATATAGATTTATTTTATATATAAGAAAGGTACATTCGGTTTGTGAGAGTACATAGCATTGTTTACATTCTTGTAAAGCCTCTTGTACGCACAGCGTTTCGGGCAGGTCCTTAATCAAACAGATAATATTAAGTAGGTAAATTCTTGCAAAATTTCTTAATTGTAACAGGTACAAAGTGAGAAAAAATTGTGAGAGATTAGTAGGTATATTAAATATATATATTAAGCACATTGATAGCTTTGATTGATAGTAGTGATAGCTTGATTGATAATTTGACAGAGACTAATTGGCACACTTAAACATAATGATAGCACATATGACAGCAATGATCACAATGGTAAAGTTGTATAGCTTAGGTACATAAATATTGAGGGATTGGGTAGCACTAGGTACAGTGCAAGTTTCAAGTACTAGGTAGGAAACTATGAAGATGAAATTGGGTACTTTTTTGTTTTGTTTTTGAATAAGGCAAAAATTGGACAGCTTTTCAATTCATTAGGGAGTGAGTTCCATGGACTAGGTCCCTTTATTTGTATATTGTTTACACAGATTAAGTTTGACTCTGAGGGGATATCAAAGAGATATTTATTACTGGTGTGGTGATTATAGGATCCACACCAAGTCACACGATGTTGATGGGGTCCACTACCACAAAAAAGGAAAGGTATGGAGCTTAATACCACCTTTTGGATAGGTATGGGGTTCACTACAATCTATTGGATGGATAAGGGGGTCCACTACTGCCCACAGTTTGGGTATGGGGTTCACTTCTGCCCACATACTGGGTATTAGGTCCACTACCACCTGTTGGATGGGGTATGGGATCCACTGATGCGCATAGGATGAATATTTGGTCCACTACTGCCCACAGAATGAGTATGGGGTCCACTACCACCCACAGGATGGGTATGAGGTCTACTACTACCCACAGGATTAGTATGGGTTTCCATTACCACCAGTAGGATGAGAATAAGGTTCACTACAGCCTACAGGATGGGTATGGGGTACACTGCCATCTAGAGGATGGGTATTGAGTTCACTACCTTCCACAGGAAGATTATGGGGTTCACTACCACCTACTGGATTGGTATGGGGCTCACTAACACTTACTGGATTTGGATGGGGCTCACTACCACTCACTGGATGGGGACAGGGGGCTCACTACCACCCACTGGATGGGTATGGAATCCACTACCACCCACAGGATGGGTATGGGGTCCACTACCGCCCAGAGGATGGGTATTTGGTTCACTACCGCTCACGCAATGGGAATGGGGTCTACTCCCGCCCACAGGATGAGTATTGGGTCCGCTATCCCAAACAAGATGGGTATGGGATCCATTACCGCCCACTGGATTGGCACGGCTCCACTACCGCCCTGAGGATGTGTATATGGTCCGCTATCGCCTACACAACCTTGTGTTTATGAACACAACCATAAACTACTTAACTGATAAAGATATATTGTCACCAGGCCACCCTACTTGCTACTGAGGGTCTCAGAAAGACGCTACTCCCCAGTGTCTCCCTCACCTCCGAGTTGCCTACGTCTGATACAATTCTTATAATACACACTGCACACTGAAATCATCACTCTCAAACAGTCACGCATATAGTAACACAATAATTTATAAATTCTAATATTATAACTGTAAACATAACATTCTTAATTGACTAAAATAAACAATTATTTTATGATAAGGATGGCACAAGTTGGCAACACCACACTGGTGGACTCCTCACACAGACAAACACACACGTATTTAACATGAACATTTCCTGTCCACTTAATGTCAGCCCATCCTCATACAATGGAATATAACAATCTGTTCTGTTATACATTCTAATACATCATAAAACATAATATAGCAGCCATTCCAAATGTATATTATATACACTATGCAAATTACTCACATTATATGCAAATACACTCCTACAGTCTGAGATGGCTGATAACAGATATGTTACTAATATTTTACCTGTGAGATCCTCTAGATAGTAACATCCACTACCACCAACAGAATAAGGATGGGGTCCACTTCCGGCCACAAGATGGGTATGGGGGTCCATTACCGCCCATAGGATGGGCATGGAGTCCTCTACCACCCACAGGATTGATATGGGGGTTCACTACCGCCCAGAGGATAGGTATAGGGTCCACTACTGCGTACAGGATGGGTATAGGGTCCACTACTGCCTACAGGATGGGTTTGGGGTCACGTATTGCTCACAGGCAATAGCCGGTGGGCAATAGGAGGGAGGGAGGAGGGAGCCATCGGAGGGAGTCGGTGGCTGAGCGGACAGAACACTGGATGCATGATCCTGTGGTCCTGGGTTCGATCCCGGGCGCCGGCGAGAAACGATGGGCAGAGTTTCTTTCACCCTGATGCCCCTGTTACCTAGCAGTAAATAGATACCTGAGAGTTAGTCAGCTGTCACGGGCTGCTTCCTGGGGGTGCAGGCCTGGTCGAGGACCGGGCCGCGGGGACACTAAAGCCCCGAAATCATCTCAAGATAACCTCAAAAAGATAACCAGGATGGCTATGGAGTGCAGTACTGTTCCATAGCCATTCGGTACTGCCTATGGGGTTCGGTACTCTAGGCGGGACTAAAGAGCTAAAACTCAACCTCCGCAAGCTCAACTAGGTGAGTACAGGATGAGTATGGCGTCCACTTCCTCCCACAGGATTGGTACTGGGACAACTACAGCTCACAGGTTGGAGTATGGAGTAACCTACAGCTCACAGGTTGGAGTATGGA